CGCGCGGGCGCAGGGCGGCGCTCCGTGGCCACGCACGCCCCGCCTCGGGGCGGCGTCGTAAGGCGGCGTGCTCTCCCGCCGGTAGGCCTCTTCAGCGACGCGATCGCCCTCAACGAGAGCATCGCCGCCGAGGTGCGGCCGCGGGCGGGGCCGGGGGCGGGGGCGGGGGATGGGGGCCGTTCCGCAGGCCTCAGCTCGTCGGCGCGGGGGCAGGTGCGCGAGACCAAGGACGAGCACACGCTCGCCGTCTTGCTCAACAACCTCGCGTCGACGATGGAGAAGCTGCGCATGCCGCGCGAGGCCCCGGCCCCTGTTGAGGCGCTTCTCCTCGGGCAAGCACTGACCCCCCTCTGCCCGCCCCGAGCGCGCGCAGGCAGAGGCGATGTACGAGCGGTCGATCGAGCTCTGCAGCGAGCACATGGAGCCGGACGACCCGCGCGTGGCGCACATCCGTTCGAAGCTCGCGAAGCTGCAGCAGGGGCTCTTCTCCTTCCCCGGCCGGAGGAGGCCGTGAGAGCTCCGATGCGCTTGGGGATGGGGGGGGGAGCGGGAGGTGTCGGAGAGCGCGGCGGCCGGGTTTGGAGCTTTCAGGCAGTGTGGACAGGATGGGGGCAAGGGGGAAGGGGTGTTTAACGGTTTCTCACCGTCACCGCTGCTCTGAGCGTCAATACTGAAAAATGAAAAAAAGTTCTTGGCAAGTCTCTTGGTGTAAAAAGCGCCATAGGACGTATTTCGTGTCAATAACGAGGCTGTGAAGGCGGGAATCGAGCGCCCCTCCCAGTGTCCCGCCATTCCGAGATGTATATGTCGCTCGTTGATTCCGCACCGATCATCTCTCCCATCGCCAAGGGCACGAAGCGCGCCGCGCCGCCACCAACGAACGGAACGGTCCGCGTGACTCGCAGCAAGGCGGCCCAGTGCGAGTCCGCCGAGGTCCCAGCGCTCGTCAAGATCTTTGACGAGGCCGAGGCGTTGCCCGACCCCGACGCCACCGACGCCGACTATGAGCCCGTCGCGCCGGCGGAGGAGGAGCCGGAGGAGGAGACCAACGAGCAGTGCGACGCCGGCGACGTCGTGGACGACGAGCGCCCTCCCTTCGCGGACGCGGACCCCAAGCCTGCCGACCCAGCGCTCGTGGCCGAGATGGCGGCTGCTGGGGCTGCGACCGAGGAGTATCGTGGCGAGCAGGATGATGACTACCGGCCCGCAAACGACGACGAGGAGGGCGAGCCCGCGGAGGAGTACGAGGAGGGTGATGTCGAGGAGGAGCAGGAGGAGGGTGCGCAGTGAGACGCCCGCGTGGTGCAGCCTGCCTGCTGCCAGCCGCGCCTGCGGCGTCGCCCCGGCGATCCGGCGTACCACCTTTGTACATCGTATGTCTGCATGTGGGTAGTTGCGGGAGTGTGCGGTCTCGAGGGATTTGAAGAAGCTAGAAGGTCCCGCCACGCTCACAGTCACACCGCCGGACAAAATGCTCTCCGCCTCAGTGACAGGCCTCTGGACACGGCTCTGCCTACGGCGAGTAGCGTAGCGGGGTGGAGAGATCTCAAGCAGAAGGGTGCGGCACTACAGACTACAGTGCTCAGTGGGCCTTGACCTTGAGACTCTCTGGCCACGGTGGTGCTGGTGGGGTGGTGCGGGGGACACAGCGTGCGCAGGGTTGCGGCCACGAGCTCGCAGCTGGGTGCGCCCGGATGCCAACCGGAAGTGTGAGTGCCTCCACCGTCCACTGCCGCCTACGCGCTAGCCGCTACGGGACGCCGTGCCCTTGTAGCCGCGCTCACTGGGCTCCTTGCTCCAGCGGGCTGCTGCAGCCTGCTCCCCGGTGCCCGGAGGCTGTTATCGCCGGACGCCGGCGCGGGGTAGTGGGCTAGTTCTTAGGATTCCTATTGAGTGAGTGCCTCCGCCACATTCCCTTCCCAACTGCTTCCCAATTTATCCCTCTGCGCTCTGGTCTGGACGATTTTTTTCACGGTATCCACGGCGAGATATGGCGGGATACCGCGGGATACCGCGGGATACCGCGGGATACCGCGGGATACTGGGAGAGACCGGGAGAGACCGGGAGATACGAGATCCACCACACCGGATACGGGAGAGAGAGAGTTTTGTTGTTTGATTACGGGTAGATACCTGAGGGAGGGTGTAGAGGATGTAGAGTGTAGAGCGCTGTAGAGCTGTAGAGATGTAGAGCGCTGTAGAGCTGTAGAGCTCTACATCCGCCGCGTGACGAACTGCCTGCGTTGTAGAGCGATGTAGAGCGCGATTTTGCTGTAGAGTTTGTTGTAGAGGCTCTACAGCCAAACCGCCGGGAAGGCAGTGACCGTCAAAGAGGTCGAGTCGCACTAATGGGGTGTCTCCGAGCTTACTGGAGCTCTGATGGACGGCCCTGACTATCCCTGACACACAGAGAGTCACTCTGACGGCACACAACACCCTATGACTGCGTCATGACCAGCCCGTCGCCGGTGCCGCATTCATCGCTGTGCTTCTTTAGCAGGCGGTGGACTGTCGGCTGCGAGGGCGGTCGCATTTGCGCGAGGCGAGGCGAGCATTCAGACGCGTTGCATGCGCCATGACTTGCGCCAGCGCGTGCGGGAGCTCCTGGCTGAGCGTTGAGTCCAGGCGAGGAGTTGCGCTGGCCACTATCGCTACGCCGAGCCGAGCTGACGCGCCGAGGCGCCGGCCAGTCGCAGCCGTGAGGCATGCCACAGCAGCAGACTCTGGCACCTGCCACCCATTGGGCGGGCAGACAGAAGGCCAGGGCAGCACTGGCAAGTGCAACGCGCCTCATGTCGAAGAGCGACCGTGGCTCGTTCGCCGCTTATGATGTAGAGTTTGTTGTTGTAGGTATATTGTTGTTAGTATGAGAGCCTGTTTTTGCCACTTCGTTAGCTCTCCAGGGGTCTCTAATCTTGAAATCCGAGACCTAAATATCAGACCTGCCGGCAAATTTAACGGTTTGCTTGCCACTGCGTTGCCGGTGCGCAGCGCCTAATTTTCCTTAGGGTCGCGCTGCGTCTCACATTTGTCCGTGCGCGCTCCCAGCGCCGAGCCGCGGCTCCACGCGCCACCTGGGCTGCCTCTGGCACGGCCGGGGTCCGCCGAGAGGCTGGGCTTGGCCGGCGGCGCGACGCGTGGCCTGTGCTGCGGCCATCTCGGACGTTCAAGCGGCGCCAGCCAGCGGCTCGGCCGCGCATCCTTCACACACGCCGCCACGACCGGGATGAGAGAGCCCGGTGTCGAGCCCTGGTGCGAGCTGCATGCGAGGGGCGGCTGTGGCCACAGCAGGTTCACCAGATGGACGTCAAAGCTGCCGTCGGCGTGCTGTCGTGGGGAGAGCCCGAG